CTTTTGCAGTATAATCATTTTGGGATGATCTTTTAAAAATAAAGGAATTCTAAGAGGGAGAAATCTAATACATACAAAATAAATTTTTTTTTTCTATTTTATGACTCCTTTGTACATACTGGCTTTTTGATTTTTATTATTTAATGGTTGTGTTATAGTTCTCTTTGTAGAAGCTGTTGTTGCTGTATACCCATTCAAGGGTAGGACTGATAAAGCACTTTTTGTAGTTTTTCTTGTTTGTGGATTGCTTGACAATTTCTTGAAAAATAAATCTGTGGTGGTGGTGTGCAACTATGCATTTGTCAAAAGTAGAACTGTACACCAAAAAGGGAATTTTATCGTATGCAAACTTAAAAGTGTATTGAAAATGTAAATACAGCAGAACAAAGTTGACTTTTTTTTCAGAGAAGTGGTAGACAACTAATGTATATTCAGCTATTTTAACTGTTGGTATGAAACACTTGAGAAATTTTTAATTGGTGGGAAAATAGATTTTTGTGCTTCAAAATTTAGATTTTTTTTGATATTCACAAACATTCAAAGGAAATGAATCTTGGAAAACTCTTTTGCCTTTATACACTTAATTTTACACTGGTTAAGTTGAAATTTAAACTGTGAGCAATAACTTTGTTTACATAAAGTTTCTTGACTTGTATATTGGAGGGAAAAACTAGCCCAAAAAAGATGTGGAGGGGATGTGTACTTTAGTTTATGTCAAAGGAGTAAGCTCTGTTGATTTCTTAAGATTTTATGTGTTAGCCACACTTTAAGAAAAGATTCTGTAAATTCCTTTACTGTAAAAAGTACCCTTTATTTATGAGACTAAAAATCTTAATTATTATATATTTTCCTTTAAAACTTTTGAGGCAACATAGAAGTCTGCCATGGTTTCTTGGATCGGGTAGATCAGTAGAGTCAGCTGTGGAAGTGGTCACAGTTTTGTTCTAGAGAAAGTTTTGAGTATAAAGAGAAGACATAAAGTTAAGGGAGGAAAAGAAAATAGTGTTTAGCTTTTAAAGTGAATGAAAATACAGACTCTTTAAATTATAAACCAAAATTGGTAAGCTTTATCAGTAAAAATGGAATAAGAAGAGGATCTATTGGAATTTTGATGCAAATTTTTTGAAAAAGAGACTTTCCAAGTATTTTTTTTCCTCTGGTTCATTGTAAGAGCTGTAAGTTGATCATGGCCTTGGAATGACTGTTTATTATTTCTAAATTTTCCTGTGTGTGACATTTTCTTTTCAAATTTGATCATACTTGATTGCCTTAAAATTCTTCTTGGCCCCCATCACAGTATCCTTCTCAATTTTCCTCAAAGTTTCTCTTTGCCTTGGGTGCCCTTTTTCTCCTCCTCATCCCAACCACTTGGTGTATCTTTTGTTTTCCTCTTATGTACTTGGTATGCTTGGATAGGATTCTCTGGAAATAGTAACCTTACAAGGATGAGTAAATTAGGTTTATTTTATTGAGTGCTGCCCTCACCACTTTCCTGTTTCCATCGCCTATGCAAAAATCTGGCCTTTGTGTACAATTCTTAGGTGAAAGAGGAGAGAAAGTAATGGAGGTGATAAAATGTGGAACAAGAGGAGGGTTAGAGGATCATCAAAAGTTTATCTCCATTCTAAAGGGTCAGAATGTTTGACAGCTGTGTGGCAACCTCTCCACACACTAACCTCAGTCTTTGTAGCCATTCTCTTCCCAATGCTTTTCAAAGGTTATACGATTTCTCATATCAAAAAGATTTTTCAGAAAAATCAGCTAATTATACATTTTTCATTATGACACTAAAGACCAAATAATCTGTACTTTAATTCTACATATGTTATTTATTATAAATATATATTATCTCACAACCTCATATAAGAGCATAAACTAATTAGCCCTGCAAGGTCAGCTTATCTTTGATTTTATTTATTTATTTTTTAGAGACAGAGTCTTGCTCTGATGCCCAGGTTCTTGGGCTCAAACAATCTTCCCACCTCAGCCTCCCAAGTAGCTGGGATTATGGGCAGGAACTACTGCGCCTGGTTCTCAGCTTATTCTTTAAATGCCTTTTACCTTATAGATGGAGCTCCAATTATATATGACTGTTGAAATTGCTGTTAAAAAATTACTTATTTTTTATTGTAAGATGACCTACAAATTACTAGGTCTTATTTTATTTATTACTTTGGTGGTAATGTGATATATATGTGTATTTGTGTGCATATGTATCCCTCAGTAAACGAAATGTAGAAATATGTAGCACTGTTTTCGGTTTTAGAACTTTAGGGATAAACGCACATTTTAAAATAATATACTTACATTGAGAAATGGTATTTTCTAGATAAGGGATCTCAAATATTTTGGTCTTAGGACACCTTTACACTCTTAAAAATTGAGGAACCCCAGAGCAGTTATGTGTGTGCTATCTATAGATATTTACTGATTAGAAAACTGAGAATTTTAAAAGTATATTAATTCATTTAAAATAACAATGATAAAGCCGTTACATGTTAACAAATAATTTAGGAAAAAGAAGTTTTTCAAAACAAAATTATGAGAAGTGTTCCATTGCTTTATCTATTTATAGATTGCTTTAATGAATGGCTACTCAATAGGAGACAGCTGAAGTCTTTTGTCTGCTTCTGCATTTGACCTGTTGCAATAATTATTTTGGTTGAAATATACAAAGTAGGCCGGGAGCAGTGGCTCACACCTGTAGTCTCAGCATTTTGGGAAGCTGAGGTGGGAGGATTGCTCAAGGCCAGGAGTTTGAGACCAGCCTGGGCAATGTAGTGAGACCCCATCTCTACAAAAAATGAGAAAAATCACCCTGGCATGGTGGTGCATGCCTGCAGTCCCAGCTACTGGGAGGCTGAGGCAGGAGGAGCACTTGAGCCCAGGAGTTTGAGGCTGCACTGAGCTATGATCACACCACTGCACTCCAGCCAGGGCAACAGAGCAAGACCCTGTCTCTTAACAAAAAAAAGAAATATACACAAACACACACACACAGAAAAACCTAGCTTTCCACAGATATGTAGTTGGTAAAAGAAGGACTATTTTAATAGCCTTTTCAGATAATCGTGGATCTTCTTTGATACTATCTCAAAACTCAGCAAGTGTTAGTTTCTTTGTTGGAGTGTGGAATCTGAAATCATATTTATGAACCTATGGTCTTTTTGGACTTCAAATGATCTTTTACCCCTGCATGATTTATAACATTATGCATTGGTGACTTGAAAAAATATTAGTTCATTGTGTTATGCAGATCTCCAAATAATGACATATTTCATTATATAATACTCCTTTCTCCTCAGGAAAACCCCATATTCATTAATATCATCACCTATCTCATCAGAAAAGCCTTTAATTAATTAATGAGAAACTGTCAGTCTCACAAATGGCAAATATGTTGTCTAAAATTCTAATTTTCATTTAAAACTCAACTTTTTATTGGAAAGAAATACTATCATTTGTTTTCCTTGAAGTAACAAGCTCATTTTGTTCATTTTCAAGAAAATGTCTGTCAGATACCTAAATCTGAAAAGCCATAGTTTGTCACTGGTTCTTTCAAGTAAATATGGTATTCCATGAAAAAAGCAGCTGGTTCAGCTTGCAACTGAATCACATAAGTGCTTTTTCTCCAGACAACATCTGGTATATAGCAGAAGTGCTTTGTGTGTACTTCCTATTTTGTCACATAAAATATTAAAAAGATGTGTACACAGGGATCAAGATTTAATAAAATGAATAATTTTTACTGCTTCACCAAGAACATTCTTAAATGAAGCTCCCTCCCCCATCCTCACCCCACTTAGAATGTGTTGTGGTAAAAACACAATGACTAGTGGTACAATTCAGTGCTCCTTACTGCCTTGCTTGATTCCTACTAAGGCTCTAGCAGCATCTACCCAACCCTCGCTTTTACACCATTGGCACAAATGTCAACATGGTGCAAAAATTAAACATCTTGAAACTATGAAAATAGTTTTGACCTCTCAGATGCCCTGAAAGGAGGACATTCAGGTTTCTGCCCATCATATTGTGAGAATTGATGGGCAAGATGACTGATTGTTGTTCTCATGGTTTAAAAACAAAAAAACTCATTTAATTCTCTAAGAAAGTGAATTGTAGCTCTCTCATCTTGTCCTTTTACTTATGATTTTAAAAATTGTAATCTTGCTTTTGAAATAGGAAAATATGCCAATTCCTAATAAAAGTCTGCATGAGAGTACATGCTTGGATTTATATTTCTGTGCTGTGCTTCTTTTTTTTAAATAGCATACCATTTTATATTTGTGGGCCCAAAGTAAAGAGCTCATTCTATTACAGACACTGAATAGCTTTGTTTCTGACAGCTAGTAGTCAGCTCTCTGTTTTAAAACAATCAATTGGGCCCTGCTGGCTCAACTTGCAGTTGTCCTAGTCCTAACCCTGTCTCAGCCAAAGACTGTTGTTGGAAAGCCCACACAAAGGCCTTGTGTACAGGGTGCCCTACCATTAAGGAGTGTGTTCTAGTCCCAGTGGATTAAATCTGCTTTGGTGTGCATTCTCTTCCCAAATTTTTCATTTATTTCCTTTGTTTTGCTGGTTATTTCAGTGAAAGATCATTTTAATGTGAGGATAGTTTCTTTTTGTTTTTTTTTGAGACAGAGTCTCACTCTGTCACCCTGGATAGAGTGGTGCAGTGGCATCAATATAGCTCACTGCAACCTCAAACTCCTGGGCTCTAGTGATCCTCTTGCCTCAGCCTCCCGAGTAGCTGGGACTACAGGCGGGTGCCATGATGCCTAATTTTTCTATTTTTAGTAGAGACGGGGTCTTGCTCTCGCTCAGGCTGGTCTCAAACTCCTTAGCTCAAGCAATCCTCCTTCCTTGGCCTCCCAGAGTGCTAGGATTACAGGCGTGAGCCAACTTGCCCAATCAAGATAGTTTCTTCTAATTATTATATAGTCCTAGTGGAGGGGATTATTTGAGTAACATAAATTTTTTTTTTTTCCCCTCTATGGTAGGATGTAATGGAGCTGCTTGAAGAAGATCTCACTTGCCCAATTTGTTGCAGTCTGTTTGATGATCCTCGAGTTTTGCCTTGTTCACATAACTTCTGCAAAAAATGCTTAGAAGGTATATTAGAGGGGAATGTGCGGAATTCATTGTGGAGACCATCTCCATTCAAGTGCCCCACATGCCGTAAGGAAACTTCAGCTGCTGGAGTTAACAGCCTGCAGGTTAATTACTCCCTGAAGGGTATCGTGGAGAAGTATAACAAGATCAAGATCTCTCCCAAAATGCCAGTGTGCAAAGGACACTTGGGGCAGCCTCTCAACATTTTCTGCCTGACTGACATGCAGCTGATCTGTGGGATCTGTGCTACCTGTGGCGACCACACCAAGCACGTCTTCTGTTCTATTGAAGATGCCTACGCTCAGGAAAGGGATGCCTTTGAGTCCCTCTTTCAGAGCTTTGAGACCTGGCGTCGAGGAGATGCTCTTTCTCGCTTGGATACCTTGGAAACCAGCAAGAGGAAATCCCTACAGTTACTGACGAAAGATTCAGATAAAGTGAAGGAGTTCTTTGAGAAGTTACAACACACCCTGGATCAAAAGAAGAATGAAATCCTCTCTGACTTTGAGACCATGAAACTTGCAGTTATGCAGGCATATGACCCAGAGATCAACAAACTCAACACCATCTTGCAGGAGCAACGAATGGCCTTTAACATTGCTGAGGCTTTCAAAGATGTGTCAGAACCCATCATATTTCTGCAACAGATGCAGGAATTCAGGGAGAAAATCAAAGTAATCAAGGAAACTCCTTTACCTCCCTCTAATTTGCCCACAAGGCCTTTAATGAAGAACTTTGATACCAGTCAGTGGGAGGACATAAAACTAGTAGATGTGGATAAACTTTCTTTGCCTCAAGACACTGGCACATTCATTAGCAAGATTCCCTGGAGCTTTTACCAGTCATTTTTGGTAGTCCTTCTGCTTGGCCTTGTCATTTTCTTTGGTCCTACCATATTCCTAGAATGGTCTTTATTTGACGAATTGGCAACTTGGAAAGACTACCTTTCAAACTTCGGTTCCTATCTGACGAAGTCGGCCGATTTTGTAGAACAATCAGTTTTTTACTGGGAACAGGTGACAGATGGGTTTTTCATTTTCAGTGAAAGATTCAGGAATTTTACTTTGCTGGTGCTGAATAATGTGGCAGAATTTGTGTGCAAATATAAACTATTATAAAATCTCTTTCAAGTATGCAGTTCTCTGTCTTTTGTTAGAGATTGTTAGAGAACAGAGTAGTAAATCAGATTTGGTGAAGATTCCAGTCATATATTTTCCTCCAGAAGGATTCCTTTCAAAAGTAATGTCTTGTTTGTGTTGTTCAAATTAGGTAGTTTATACAGATAAAAATGAAATTTAGTAGTGTAGTCCTGAACCCTCTTTCCTTTTTAAAGAATGCTTTTTGAAATAAGCATCCTCCTTCCGGTATTGCTTGTGTTTATGCTGTGATAAAAACGGAGGTGAGAGATCATATGATCTAATAACTGTATTGATGAGGTATAGAGTGGTGGTGTTAATCAAGCATGCAGTAAAGACTACTTTTGTAAAGGAACTTTTTTTGACAGTGAATATTCTTTTGAAGAAGGAAAGATGGTTTGAAGATTTCCAAATTTTTCTGTAGACAGTTGATTCCTTTATCACTAAAATGTAAATCTTATGTAATCAAAAACTGGCAGTTTTCTTGTGGTAAGTTTATATTTTTAAGAGGGTGGAAATTTCAGCCTGGTGCTTTTCTCCTTTGTTGTTTAAAATTTTTCATCAAAGGTGTTAATTACAGAAATGTTAGGTGGCTGAGCAAAGGCATAGGTTAAAAAAGAAATGTAACACGTGGCAAGAGCAGGAAATGGGAAAGCCACCTTTTTTCTGGCAGCTGGGTGTTTGTTGTGTTGTTGCAAAGTTTATCACAGCAACTATACAACCAAACCAATCCACTTGCTTACAGAATTTTAAGTGTAGTAAGACTAATATGACAATAGATGAAACAATCTGTCAGTTACTATAAAGTACAGAGTAATCAGCTCAACACTATTGCTATCCCATCTGCTCATGTGAGATAAAGGCACCCTATCACAGAATAAAAATACTTAATTTTCCCACTTTGCTTAGAATTCAGATGAAAACCTTATCTTACAATTGCTCTCTACTCTGCCTTATTTGTGTCAAGGAATCAGACATTCCTTTGAAAGTCCATTAAGTGAACTAGACTTTCAGAGAATAGTGTTTTTATTCCAGTCCTCCGTTAAGTTGGTTGAGAAGAGGTAATCAAAGTGGGGACAGGAAAAAACGTGGCAACTAAATTTACAGAAGAAATCATTACCTTCTAGCTATGAGAACAGTCAAATAAAATAAAGCTTGCTAGGTGAGGGAATGGCTGCCTCATTTCTAACAGATAATTCATGATTTGGCCACTAACTTGTTAAGAGGATCATAAGAAATTAAGACAATGTATATCTGTAAATCTTACTTCTGCCATGACAGCTCATGGTAGATAAGAGGTCTGGGGAGGGGGAGTGCTTTCTTGCTCCTAGTAATATTTTTTTTTAAATATAGATTTACATCAGGTTTTCATGGAGAAGTTTTTTATGGAATACAGAAAAGGGATTTATTTGATGTCTATCCTAAGATATACTGGCAGTTTTCCTTTAACTATTCAGTTCCTCATCTGTTGCTTTTACATTTTGTATACTGCAGGTTCCCAAGCAACTCAAATTTGTAAACACAGCTATGGATACACTATTTGCCTTATAGTAGTCACCTGGGAATCTAAGTCTTTGGTTTTTGTTATTCTTCCCTCCTCTACCTTGTTTGATCGTACATAACTAGCAACATTTATGGTTATAGGTTGATTCACAAGTTCTTTGTAAGTTTGTGGGTGATAGTCTGAAGCTAGGGAAGAATGAGTGGTGAAGAACTGATCACTTTGAACGTAGGAGGGAAGATATTTACAACAAGGTTTTCTACCCTGAAGCAGTTTCCTGCTTCTCGGTTGGCACGAATGTTAGATGGCAGAGACCAAGAATTCAAGATGGTTGGTGGCCATATTTTTGTGGACAGAGATGGTGTTTTATTTAGTTTCATCTTAGATTTTTTGAGGACTCACCAGCTTTTATTACCCACTAACTTTTCAGACTATCTTAGGCTTCAGAGAGAGGCTCTTTTTTATGAACTTGATTCTCTGGTTGATCTCTTAAACCAACACCTGCTACAGCCAAAACCTGCTCTTGTGGAGGTACATTTCCTAAGCCGGAACACTCAAGCTTTTTTCAGGGTGTTTGGCTCTTGCAGCAAAACAATTGAGATGCTAACTGGGAGGATTACAGTGTTTATAGAGCAACCTTCAGCACCAACCTGGAGTAGTAACTCTTTCCCTCCTCAGATGACTTTACTTCCACTGCCTCCACAAAGACCTTCTTACCATGACCTGGTTTTCCAGTGCGGCGCTGACAGTACTACTGATAACCAAACTGCAGTCAGGTATTTTGTACTTTGAAGTATCTCTCTTCTACACCAGTTCCTGAAGTTTTCCCTCAAAATTGAAAGTTCCTCATGCCTAAAACTTTTCTTGGAAAAAATGATTACTCAAAATTATGTTTTGGGGTAACCAGTGGAGTTGGGTAGAATGACCAAGTATTTTCCAAAGTGGGATACTTTTCAGAGTGAAGGAGGATATTGTTATTATGTGGACCAATAGGAATAAACCAAGACTGTCTAGGGAAAACTAGGACAATGGTTATTCAAATTACAGGAGGAAATCTGCTAAGAAATTTGACTTAGAAAAGAATTGCATTAATTTTTCAAGAAATTCTTTTAGTGACTTGAATATAATAAAGGCTTGCTCAATAGTTTCTCCTGATTTCCTGACACATTATATGTATGTGTTCTTTCAGTCCTTATGATTTGACTACTGATTTTTCTTCATCCGACTTTATTTTTAAACACTTTTAAAGGCAGATATATCTCATGGCAAATTTGGTATTCTGTTACATCCTTGGCTCTTACACAATTCAAAATATTGGAGTAGGCTGTCAGAATGTTAAGGACAGTTGCTTCTGACTCAATTATTCACTTTCTCTCTCTGTTGTTCTTGGCTGGATCCTAAGGCTGATTTCCACTCTGCTGTCACAGACATTTTTCCCCCCCTTTAAAAATGTCTTAATGCTGTCCTACCATTATTTTACTGACCGTGAAAGCTGGCTTTAATTTTTAGGAGGGGAAAAAAAAAAGCCTGCATGTGTTCTTTATTGATAGCATTTAAAATAAAATATACTGTTTGGTTAAGGTAGACAGACAAATTTTAGGATACTTTAACTTAAGCAGTACCATCAGGAAGGATACCAGCATCTGCCTCTCTCACAACACTCCCCTTGGTCTTGAGATCATTGGGCAGTATAACTGAGTATGACGATCCTTAACTTTTTATACTTTATAATTTCTTGTCCTTCCAAAGAGGTTGAAATGTCATTTTGGGAAAAGAGCCAAATTAATAGGGTGATTGTGAAGAAAACCTAAGACCTTATCTTTATCTCAAACTGTTCTAAGATACCTCAGGGCACAACTTTATTTTTATTGGTGGAATGCTTAAATAGAAGGAAACGATCAATTTTTTTGTTTTTAAAATTTGATTAATTATGACCTATTTGGGGATCACTTTTCAAAAAGTTAGAAATCCAAGGAGAAATGGTTTTGATTTTCAGAAGAAACATACTTGTTAAGAAGATGTCCTGGAAATACTAATTTTTTTTTTTTTTTTTCTGAGACAGAATCTCAGTCTGTCGCCCTGGCATCATCATAGCTCACTGCAACTTCAAACTCCTGGGCTCAAGGGATCCTCTTTCCTCAGCCTCCTGAGTAGCTGGGACTATGGGCATGCGCTACAACACCCGGCTAATTTTTCCATTTTTAGTAGAGATGGGGTCTTGCTGTTGCTCAGGCTGGTCTCAAACTCCTGAGTTCAAGCAATCTTCCTGCCTCGGCCTTCTAGATGCTGGGATTACAGGAGTAAGCCACCATTCTTGATCTACTAAATACTTTTTAAAAACCATGCAGTTGGAGAAAGTAATTGCAATCTTGAAAAAAAGGATTAGAAACTAAAATTGGGATATTCCTCTGTATACATAGTGCCAAATGGTTTCCCCTTTTTAAAATTATTTGTATTTTAAACAGCATAAAAATCTTCCTTTATCTTAATGTGAGGAAAGTATTATATTTAAACTTCCACAATAGATAATTCCAAAATCAGAACTATTTTTAAAACTAACTTTTTTTTGGCATCACCAAATGGTATTCTTTTCAGTTGTTTGAAGTTCAGAATTTTTTCCATCCCATAAGTGTGATTTTTTTTATATAGTGCCAATTTCAAAGTAGAGATAGATAATCTGAATAAAGTGACATTATGGGGATCTCTGATGACTGGGATGAAAACTGCATCCTTAAGTGGCCCACCTTGAGTATATAACTGCCCAGTTCGCAACTCATTTTTATTTTTTGCATGCTCCCTGATCTGGATCTGTTTATTCAGATGTTTTTGGAAGGTGGAAAGTGGAGAAGCAAGCCTGAATGACTCATAATAGTCTGGTGTATCATTCAGCTTATTCAGTATATTTCATCAGTATGTTTTACCACTCTAAAATTTTGTTAACCTAGCAGGTTGCTCAGATATTATCTTTCAAATTCATAGTACTGGAAATACTTGGCTTGCATCCTTCAGATGGCCATTCATGTGATACCATGTTATCAAGCTCCAGTTATGGTCACAGAATTTTAGAATCTCTTTGTTATTCTGTCTGACTTCTTTTTAAATTGGCTCAAATGGAAAAGTGTAGCTGCCTTTAAATTTTTAAAATAAGTTTAGATTTTCTATTTCCCATTGGTTTCTTCTATTCCATCCTTTTCTTGTGCCTTGAAATCTTTTATTTTTCAATTTAGCCTCATGGAAGCAAGTACTTTAATTAGCTCAGTGATTTCTTGTAAGTGCATTCTACTTTGTTACCGTGTACCACCTGTACATATGTACTATTTGTATCTTAATTCTTTTATGAAATGTTCTGTAATTTTTTTTTCTCTTTGACAAATGTTTCTAGGCTATACAATCAAGATCTGGGATTTGGGGGTAAATGGAATGATTTACTAATGTTAAAAATCTGCTGTAACATAATAAACATTTTTTTAGATGTGCTTTGTAGTTTGATAGTTCTTAGATTTTACTATTCAATTGTTTTCTTTGCCTAGAATGAGTTTCTAACTGAGAGCAACAATAACCACTCTATTTCAGTTATGATCATTAAAAGGAGGTTAGGGATGTCTCCAAGCATCTTTTTATCCCATAAAACTACAGATAGTTTAGGTTTCTGACTGGAACTAATCTAAGCCTTTTCTTCACATCTTATAAATGGTGGGAGGACACAAGGAACTAAAAACATCCTTGATGGCAAATAAGGAAGGAGAAATATAGTTACATCTATGCAGATGTGTTATGTTGAAATAATTAAAACCAACATATAGCCAATCTGAAAAGTTCAGGTATATTTTTCTTGAATTACGTGTATTGGTTCTGTAGAGTTGCCCAGGGAATAGAAGATTTTGGTTTTCCATTCCAGAGGCTTTTTGACCAAGTTTTACTCTTCTGACAATGGACAGTTATAGAGTAAAAGATGACAATAAAATCTTGACATTTTATGTCTTTAAAATTTCACCTAAAAAATATATTTGATAGGAATAAGTAACAAAAGAAAATTCATAATGTCAGTTGCTAATAGTTGGTAAAATTTGATCAGGGGAAAATTCTAAATGTATAGTGTCCATGAAAAAAATTGATAAAATGAATTAATCAATTGAGTAATAGTAGTAATTCAAAACAAAAATAAATTATACTATATAAAAACTAAGACAATTTTGATCAAATTATTTGCTCCAGAAAATAATTTCTCAATGAAATTCATCAATGTTGGTTATAGTTCTAAATGTAGAATCAAAATGAATTTGGAAATCACAGCAAGGTCTCTATTTTCAGTATCCAGAATTACTGATTTGGATTTATAAATGAAGTTTCAAAAAAAAATCCGGAAAATGGTATGATGCCTTTGGGGTTATAAGTCAAATTTGTATGTGTAGTTTTGCCAGCTATTAATGGGATGCTTTATAATTCAACTTCTTTTTGTGTGTCCCAGGTATGTTTCTATAAAACCTGATAACCGAAAATTGGCTAACGGAACAAATGTCCTCAGCTTACTGATTGACACTTTATTAAAAGAAGGCTTTCATCTGGTCAGTACCAGAACAGTACCCTCTGAAGACAAAACTGAATGCTATAGCTTTGAAAGGATGAAAAGCCCTGAAGCACTCACCATGAACAAAACACTGCAACCAGAGACTACCATCATGCCAGAGCAATCTCAGAAAATGAAATGAAGTTGTCTGTTCCCTTTCAGGGAAATTGCCATTTTCTTGTTTGGAAATTCTATACTTAGGGCATACATGTTAGTCAGCCTAACTTTTTGATTTTATCTCCTACCATGCCACCTCTAGGCAACAACAGTGCTTATTAACACAGTGACTGCCATGTGAGCTCTATTTAACTCAGGCTACTTTTGAGCCCCGGCCTTGTGAAACAAAACCCTGCAGTTGGTTCATGAAAATCTTATTTGTTGATGTTCTTACTGTTGCAATTAATATTGACAATTTAACTCTAAAAACATGGATTAGGTTGCATATAACTCACACACAGAAAACAATAGAAAATAATAAATAAAAAAGGATCATTTTGTTTTAATAAAACACCGTGGCCCCAGGGAAAAAAAAATTTTTTTCTAGTGTGGCAGTCAATGTGTTAAGCCACACTAAACTGCTGTTCTTTAAACAATTCTGTGCACTTGGTGCTTGCACCTGTTCCTTCTACCTTCAATACATCTTTCCCTTTCTCTTTTTCATGAACACTTACGCAGCTTCCAAAAATTGGCTCTGTAATCAGACTGCTTATTTCTAATCCCAGCTAAGTCACGTATTAGCTATGTGACTTGGGCAAGTCATTTAACCTCTCTGTGCTTCAACTTCTTCATCTAACAAATGGGGATAATAAAGATACCTTTTCATAGGATATGTGAGGATTAAAGGAGATCAAGTATTCAATGCATTGCCTGGCACATGGTAGGCACTCAGTAACTGTTAGTGATGATGATGGTGATACTGATGATGAAAATGATGGATGGCCCACTTTCAAATGCACATATTCTGTAAGGCATTGCTTTATTCCTTTCCTAGGCACTTCTATATAGATTTATACACCATCGTAAGACATTTTTTTCTCAATTGAATGTTAACTCGTTGATCTTACTCAACAGTTTTTAATGCTATTATGTATAAAGTACTGTGCTTAAACACTTGGTGAGAGCAATAATACCTGTTACTAATTAGTACCGAAAGCTGGTGAAAAGCTTTCGAATAACCTCTGCCAACATTTAAACTACATACATACTTTGACCTAGTGGTTCCTTTTGTCGGTGTTATATATGTGTCATTTTAAACACTAGGATAAACGCCTAGAAGAGTAATCACTAAATCAAAGAGCACCAAGATTTTGTACACAGTAGGGTTAAAAGCTGTTGAGTACAAGCAGTTAAGCACCATTTTTAAAATTACAATTAATTCATTAAAACACATCTGTTAAACATCTGTTGGACAGTATACTAAAGTTTCAGGATTACAAAATGAGTAAGACAAAAATCTTTATTCTCAAGGAGCTTACATTCAAGTGAGAAAATGCATCATCATAACAGCAAAAGATTAGAAATAAGCTCAAAGTTCAATACTGAACAGGTAACTTGAAGGATTGTCAAGATATGTTACAAGGGGGAAAAAAGGTACAGAACAATGAATAAAGTGGAAAATACATATACAATTTCCATTTATGGAAAAATATATATACACATTTTCTTATAAATGCACAGAATTTTCAGCAAAGATACAGGTTGCCTGTGGAGAGGGAACTGGGTAAGAGGGGTTTAGGTGTGGTGGTAGGAAGACTTATTTTTCATCAGACCATGTGGATGTATTATCTAATTTTAAAAAAAGGAAGAAGCCATATATGAAAGATTGTATGTGTGTGTATGTGTGTTGGGGACACTATTATGGCATAGTATGGCTTATTTTCTCTCATATTTTCTCTGACACAAATTTTACTCTACCACCCTTCCTGTGAAACATTTTCACTTTAGTAAAGAAGTTGAAATTTCTAATAGTTACTTATAAACTTGTGTACTAGCTCGTGGGCAAGATTAAAACATTTTTTTCTAAGAGTACCTCAAAAGGTTATGTATAACTTAAAAGTGCAGAATACTTCAAGATCAGTAATGTTAAGGTTAGCAACTGAAAATCATGGTCCAAGTAAGAAAAAATGCCGTAAGTTTTTTGTTTTGTTTTTGGCACCACTCATCTATTTTCTGCAGAAAACCCAACATAGGTTTTTCTTTGTTTGTTTTTGAGACAGAGTCTCACTCTGTTGCCCTGGATAAAGTGCAGTGGCGTCATTATAGCTCACTGCAATCTCAAAGTCCTGAGTTTAAGTCATCCTCCTGCCTCAGCCTCCCTAGTAGCTGGGACTACAGGTGCATGCCACTGCGCCCAGCTAATTTTTCTGTTTTTAGTAGAGATGGGGTCTTGTTCTTGGTCAGGCTGGTCTTGAATTCCTGACCTCAAGTGATACTCCTGCGTTGGCCTCCCAGAGTGCCAGGATTATAAGCATGAGCCACCTCTCTCAGCCAACAACATAGTTGTTTTAGCATAAAGTTTTCGTGATGATGTGTCTGGTCTGGTTTCCTTGCTAGCAGTATACTCTAGAGCATAGTATTTCTATTCTAAATTTTTGGCATGTATGTGATTTAACCGTTTGGGTATAATTGGCATGGTATACATGTAACACTGCTTAATTCTGTATAGTGCTTTGCTAATTAAGATTATTAAAACTGATAACTTTAAAAAATGCTGAAGCAAAAAATATTGTAATTGCAGTTTGGCGAGGAATAAGACAGGAGATGTTTAAACTGCTATTAATGTGTTCTCAGTCATTCACATTTGCGGGAAACAATTTTGAGATTAGAAATAAGATGTTCTTTCTAATGAACTAATAGAAATACATTACCTATGGGAACATAATACACATAACATACATTCATTCAACAAATATTTTTGACATCTATGTGCCAAATACTAGTCTCAATATTGGAGATTCTTAGAACAAAGAACAAAAAAATTTCTGCCCTTTTAGAGCTTACCACAAATACATTTAATAACATAAATTAAAATAACTTAAGCCTTTCAAATAGTTTCTCAAAAGTCATGAGTTCACAATGTGTAGGTTTTTAGGAGATAGATTACCACAATTTAAGATAATATATCATTCTTTAGGGAAAGGTTACTTTCAGAGTGGGTTGAGTTTCTTATTTTAGAAAATATTTCAGAGATTATCTCATCTGGAGACATATCTGTCAGTATCATCTCAGTAAGCCTCTTGTGTTCACTCCAAAATAGAGTGGGATACTGTAACTGGGATATCAAGACATGTGAAAAGAATTGAGTGTTGTTTTAGAAAAAGAGGCAGGCAAATGTAGTCTGAAGTAAATGGGGGTAGGTTAGATGCACCACAGGCAAATTAAAATCTCTTGCCAGCTTTAGGAAAAAAAATGAAAACAAAACGACTTCAACATTTTCGTATGTGCATAACTTAACTCTTTAACTTCTTGACTAAATTGTCAATATTATTTTAAATTATAAGAAAATAATGGCAGAAGCTTGTCTTGGCCAACCGCACTAAAAATCTTGTTCTAAGAAATCATATACACCTATCAATCTACCGAATATACAAAGGGATGAATCGTCACAGTGGCATATTAAGGTTTGTCAGCCTAATGGTACCATCAATAGTTGACTGAGGTGATGGATATCCTAAATACTCCCACTTGATCATTATATACTCTATATGTATGTAAAAAAAAAATCACATGTACCCCATTAATATGTACAAATATTATGTATCAATAAAAAACAGTTGGACCTTCCCTGTTCTTCCACTTCTGTTATGTTTGTTTCAGTTTCTTTCCATCATTCACAGTTTCATTCCTGATAAGGCACCAAAGATTTTAGCTTATGATTCTTGCATCTCATAATTTACCTTACAAGTGACTGGAAGTTCTCCCTACAAAGATTTTCTAAAAAGAACTCTAGTGTTGAATTTTACTCTTGCATTTAATATATAAATAATAAGTACAAAGAGTTCTCAGGTTTTGGTAAAGTTAGAATTAATTTGGGCTGCTTTTAAAATGTATTTGAAATCAGGAGTCTGAAGTAGTATAAAATGGTCATGAGAAAGCAGCTTGAGAAATATATGGTTTAGGGAATCATAATCTGTTTCAAATTTGTCTTGTATGCCATTACAACTGACAAACTTCAGCTTTGCTTTATAAGCTTTTGTTCTGATACCCTATCAAATAATAGAAATGGTCATATCACTATCCTATCACTAGAGTGATATATGACTGGAGATGTGCTGGGGTTTTGCTCTTAGCAAAAAAAGATTTGCTAAGAGCACTCTAAACCTATATTCTGTTGCTATTTTTCATCTGTGCTAGGGAAGTTGACTCTAAAGCGGCAAGTTTAGCAATGTAGAAGCCACTAAGAAGAAATTTTCAAAAAGAAATTTAGGAAATTTTATTACCTTCCTGCAGCCAAAGAACCTATAGGAGAGAGCAATGTTAAAAAACTCTTTTTGAACAAGATGGTCAAGAAATAAAGAGAAGAGATGAAGATATATTACTAAAAATACTTACAATTCTGGAATATCAACAACCTAATAAAAAACACAATTACCTACCAGCTTTGCTACAGAACTACACCTCAAGAATTATTAGGCCTTTTATTGGGCCTATTAGAGATGAAAAGTTATGTACAAACTTTGTCAAAAAACTCATCATCTAAAATGCCTTAGTATTTATCTAAACTATGAGATAGATCCAACCACAAAAGTATTTTCATGGACAAAAAGCTAAAATCTTACATGGGTGAAAATGGGAAATGAAAATTAAGCATAGCACAGAATAAAAAAGGAACTAAACATGTAGCAAAATAAATAGGACTTTGCTCCCCAAACTAAAGTGTGCCTCAGACTCATCTAACCATACAGGGCTTTTAGGTAGGCAGGCTTCTGTACCTTCAGATTTCACACCAATACCTTAAATCCAGAAATCATTAAAACAAAGTCATTTGTTTTTACTTTTTACCATATTAGTTGGGCAAAACATACCAAATACCAACTGTTTCTATTTCATGTAACTTTCATCATTTTACAACACTTCTGGAAAGAGTGAATTTCTTTCAGTTCCCAAATAGACAAATAGGAGAGGTTTGTCCTACCATTTTTGTACCACAATGTCTGAGGTTCCATGAATTCTTTTAAGATGAGGACTGGTATTGTGCTGTATAGTG